GAGAGACGGCGGCGACAGCTGGATCGGGCTCGTCGAGAGCGCCGCGCGAAGAAACGGCGGCGTAGTCAACGGCGCGATGGCCGCCCCCGGGGCGAGCGTGCGGACCTACTTCGGTCGCGTTCGCCGAGGGGCTGGCGGCGAGAAGAACGCTCTCGCCGCGAGCGTTTTACCGCCGCCGCGGGACACGTTCGAGAGCCTCGTCGCGCACTTTCGCGGCGTCTGCGCGGCGGCGAGGACGCGACGGAAGGAGATTGAACGCGCGTCGCAGCCGCCGCGACGCGACGGCGACGACGTCGGCAGCGCGGCGCGGCAACGTTTGCTCGAGACAGACGACGACAACGCCGTGGAGACGAAGAAGAAGAAGGACGCGTCCTCCTCTCCCGACGTCATCGTGCTCGACGATACCGAGTCGGAGGAAGCGGCGGCGGCGGAGGCTTCGCCGTCGTCGTCGCCGTCGTCGCCGCCGCGGGCGCGTTACGCGACGCCGCCGTCCCCTCCTCCGCCGCCGCCGAACACGGAAGCGACGCCGGACGATCTGTCGTCGCCCATCGAGCGCACGCCGCCGTCCGTGAAAGCGCCGAATCGCGCGATGAAACGCTCGCTCGCAGTCGCGGTCTCCCCGCCCGCCGCGGCGAAGGTGGTCGACCCGCGGGGGTCCTCGTTTCCGTCCGAGTACGAGTTCAAGTCCCCGGAGCAGGAGGTCGCCGCCGCGTTAGTAGGAGGCTTCACGAAAGAGAACAACACAGCAGTCACGGACGAAGACGCGGAGGAGGAGGAGACGCAGGAGGAACGACGCGTCGAGGTGCACCCCTCTTCTTCTCGCGGCGGCGCGCCGCCGCGAAAGCCGCTTCTGGACATCTCTCAGGCGCGTTCTATACACTGGTCCCCATACGACCCCGTCCGCGTGGTGAACGCCGATCCTTAAGGACTTTTGCCGTCGTCTCTCTCCGCCCACGCCACGCTTTCAATCCCCGCCCTCGACGCCTTTCAACGCCAACTGACGCCTTTCAACTCCACCCCGACGTTCGCTCGTATAGAACGGCCCTCGCGCGCGGGCCAACCAGCCCCGGTCGCCGGAGCGGCGCTCGAAGTGGTTCGCCGCCGCGGAGGCGACGACGTGGCGCACGTCGTTCAAGAAACCGCCGCTGCAGCTCGTGCGCTCGGACGACGACTCCGACGCAGACGCGGAAGAACCCTCCTCCCCTCCGCGCGTCGACGACGAGGAGGAGGTGAAACCGACGCGGACGAAGCTCGGCCGTCGGGTCGCGCGCGCGGCGGCGGCGGCGGCAGCGGCGGAGCTCGAGACGCTCGCCGCCGAGGCGGATCTCGATCGGTCGGGCGCTGCGCCCCGCGAGTGCGCGCTCACGCGCGCGTGCGACGACGTCGCGCGCGCGAGCACGACGGCGATCACCGGGAAGGTGCGGCGATCGGCGCCGGAGCCGCCT